AAAAAATTATAAAAAAAAAAATATATTTATAAAAAATATACGTTGCTTTGCTTTTGTCGTCTCTCAAAATTGAATGTATCGTACACAAAAAAAAAACAAGTACGTACATTACAATTCAAACACAACAAATCATCAGCCGAAAGAGCGCCAGTTATTCGCGAGAAACGCGGCTGTGTTTTCTATATATTCAACTCATTGTTTACGTTCGTTCGATTAGATAATAGTTTTGTTAATTATTGTATTTCGTTTGGTGAGACTTGGAGATAATGGCGCCCAAGTTGATTGAAAAATTTAAAACCTATCTCAGGTTGTTGCAAGCACACACACATACATCAAATATACACACGCATACACAAACACCCACACATACCAGTAATTTATATATTAATATATATCTAATCAATGTCTTCTCTCTTTTTCTCTCTCTCTCTCTCTCTCTCTCTCTTTGCCTTTCTTTCCCTCTCTTATCTTTGCAGTGGCGGCGGTCCACAGACAACAACTGCCGGTCCATCCGCTGGTAATGTAGCAAATGCTACCATTGCCGGTGGTAAGAGCACAAGCAATAACATGTATTCCACCCGCCAATCTGTAAGCACCACAACCGGTGTGCTCATGGTCGGACCAAATTTTCGTGTCGGTAAAAAAATTGGCTGTGGTAACTTTGGCGAATTGCGTTTAGGTAAGTTCATACAATCAATTCTATAAATCGTAAGCTACTAAATTTGTAATTGGATTGGGTAACATGAGAGCTATGAAAGGGAGGTGAGGAGGGGGCACAATGGAAAGCTCGTAAATGTATTGAAATTTAGTTGCAGCAGCTCTGATCCCGCATATAAGCATTATTCGGACTGTGAGTGAAGTTTCCGAAACTCTAGGGTCTTTAGTCTATAGCTTTACGAATCAGAAATAATTGTATTGGAGATCTCCTATTCTAGATAGATATAATCTTTGGAATTGTTTGTATTAATGATTAGGAATTAAACGATGTCACGAGTAATAAGTGTGTCTAAGGCTGACAAATTCCTGAGTGGGGAATCCTAGTTAATGATTTAATGCATATCGAACTAGTTGAACTAGTTAATTGGTTTGTTCAAGCGGATTAGTTTTATGGAACAATTAGCTTCAGTTATTGCTTGAAAGAGAAAAGAAGAAGAAATTGAACTGAATTTCTCATATCTGCAAAGGAAAATCGTTCATTTCATTGACTCTTCTTCAAGCATCATAATATTCATAAATTTGAATATGCCTAGTAGTTCTGGAAGCGCCTAAACTATTTCAGCTAAAGTAGTCGTAGTTCTAGTTGGTTGAATTGGCTAACTCCAAAAGCAATTGGCCATAAAAAAAGATTTCATTTATTCAAGTGGATCATGATGAATTCATTAACTGTTAAACAAAAATTGTTGAGGCAATTTACACCTCGATTGATTGATAGAGTAAAGAATAAGACAGTAAACTGTGCCATTCAAAAATTTCTGATTGACGTTGGTTCTTCACTTGACTAGTTCAAACAATTCTAAAAATATAATAAACCAGGATTTATATCAATATTATCTTTTATTATATGATTATTATATCTAATTATGCTAGAGTTTATTAAAAGGTTCAGTGTTATTTCCATTAAAGTAGGTATAAGCAAAGCTTTTATAAGAAATATTATACATATAAAAGTATATTTATAAAAGCTATGATAAATTCAACTTGTTGAGGGTTTCTCGATAGAATTAAAACAAAATAATATGCGATGAATTGCAACGTGAGAATCTCATTGAAGCGACTTCAAAGTGTTTACCTCAACAAAGAGAAGTTGGCCACAAGCTAAAAGCCAACTTTCACAGTCAGTGGGCCAACATAACTGTATCTTTATGAGCTTATCAGAACTGTATCTGAGTCAAGTCTTACATCATTAGTCGCCCCTCTCACACCAAGAAGTTGGCCGATTGCGAGAGGCGCGCGTCTCCTAACTGTAAAGAAGTAGTAAATTACGCTTAAGACTCGACTCGACTCGACTCGAAAGTTATTCTGTTCTCTCGCTGTGCGCTTTAACGCCCACAAGTTTTCATTTATCATATTTTTTTTTTTTTTTTTTTTTTTTTTTCTGCTTGTTAAAGCTTTTGGCAGGCGACACGACGTTGGCTTCGAGTACTTTTGTATAGCCATCTTTGTTGTGACTTCCTTTGCATGTGCATTCCTTTTCATGGCTGCCAACAGCAGAGCAGGGGGAGAGGAAGGTGGTGGGCAACAACAACTGGGGAAACCACAATGAGAAGGTTTTTATTTTTATTTTTTTTTTTATTTTTGCAAAATACAAAATAAAATGCCATTCCATTTTGCCATCTGTTTTGTTGTCGCAGTCGTCGTCGCCGTTGTTGTTGTTGTTTTTGCTGTTGGCATCGCCACTTTTGCTTTGTTTGCTAAATGCGCTTTTATAAAATTGTGTTTTTCTTGCTGCTACTTCGTTTGGTTTTTCTTCTCCTTCTTCTTTTCTTTTGTGGGCTTGCCACTTCCCTTTGTGCATTTGCATACATCTGTTGCGACTGTTGCTGTTCGTTATTGCCAACAGGTAGCCAGTCGTCGTCGTCGTCCAGTGCTGCTTAAACTGTTAAGCAGCTATAGTCGCGCGTCGTTTTGAATGACAACTAATTGCATCCGCCCCAACATTCTATCTCTCAGTTTTTTCTCTTCTTACCTGTTCCCTTTTGCACATTTGCTTTGTCTCTAGTGTCTGGCTTGGTATTATTCCCCAGCCAGGTGATCATTCAATGTCTTAAGCACTGGTTTTTGCTCTTAACACATGCATATGCACATGTGTGTGCGTTTGTGTATGAGTCACTCTGTACTTTAACAGGTAACAGGTAATGAACTGCGTCTGTGTTTACACATACATACAGTTGTCAGTTATTCAAACAAAGCTGTGTTTAATTAGCAATAAGGTAAATGATTTAGTTTTGCTGAACCAAAATGTAGTTTACATTAAGACGCCTTATATAATCTTGGAATTGCTGTTCGATCTCTAGAGCTTGGTCTTTTATTACTGCTGCATAGCAAATATCTACAAATATAGACATATTCAAATGATTCACATTTGCTTACATTATCCAAAAAGTTACCCTAAAATAATTTACAGTCGTAATTAGTTTATTTTAGTTTTACTTAAGGCACGAGAATGAACAATTCCATTTGCTTTCATTTTAATCGGGGAATTACACATTCCATTTCAGAAATAAGCAAACAAATTTATTGCACTGGCACTTAACAGTATTCTGTTATCCAGCTGTTAATTAACATTGCGTACATTTTGTACGCATTTGAACTTTTGCTAATTGTGTTGGTTCTTGCTTCGTTGTAGCTTATGCATTATTTATTTTTATTGAATAGCCTTTACGAAATGCTATGAAATTGAGTTTAGTCTAATTATTATAATTGAGCCTCTATTAATTGTGGGAGAATGTGTAAATCGTGTTGCTGCTTTTGGGTCAACTTTTGTTTACTTAGTTAATATTGTTGTATCTATTGTTCAAGTAAATGTGCCTTCGTTGTGCTTCTAGATTTAATTTATGTGCGTGTTAGATTGTATGTATATACACACACACACACAATCACAGAAAATATAATACATAATGTATTGTATGTGGCCTATACTCGTGTATATATTGAGTTAGGTCAGGAGAGCTTTAGCTACGCTTGAATAACAGCACGCTTTTAATGTGAGTTAAGTGGAATATAAAGCCGAAAAGTGGACTGTTTTTATTGTTTCTATATAATTACTAAAGAAATTAGGAAATTTTTATGATTGTGGGATATATACATATATAGTAATAATATATGTTAGAATGTGCTTATAATTATTCTACAACTGTTGGCATAAATTATTTTTAGAATTTTAGTTTTGAAGAAATCTCTATTTACTTTTACTTTATAAATTTTCAACGGAACATAAAATGCTTTAGCTTTTCCATGAAAAATCAAAATTCTTTTCTGAAATATATTGCATGAATTAATCAAAAATGCAATTTGTTTCGGTCAAATGGAGACGACGCGATATTTACAGATACAAATTGTTTTGTTTTTGTTGTGAATAGCATAAAGTACGAATCAAACAAAATGAAATTGGTAAACAAAAAAATTCATGGAAAGCAAGCGTGGGGCGTGGCAGACCCAGACCAGACCAGACCCCAGACCGTTGGGTGCTGCTCCATATACAAATTTGCTTTGTTGTAATCAAAGTCATGCGGCTTTTCGCACACGAGTATCCACATGGGCGGGTGTGTGTGAGTGAGTGAGTGAGTGTGTCGTYTGTGTGCGAGTGAGTGCGAGTATGCTAGCTCGCTTGATGACTATAAATGTTGACAATGTTGTGGTGAGCGATAAGCTCTTCCCCTTTTACTTCGTAATCATTCATGACATAATTTCGCACCTAGCGGCCTTTTTCTTCATATATAACATTGTTATATGTATATTTCATTTTGATTTATGCAATTAACTGAATACAAAAGATAAACGTGTATGCGAGCTAATTAATCAAATCGCTTTATTTCGGAATAAAACCACGCAAACCGCAAAATCAAGCAATTAGTTGCCATTATTTATGAATTTAATATATTTGTGATTTAAATTTGTACGCCGAAAAAGAACCAGGAGCTAGAAGAAATTCTTGTCTACCGTATACAATTTTTACGAATCGCTCTTTATATAGTATAAAAATATAGAAACCTGAAACAGCAAATCTTTTGATCTGCAACTGCGTATAATGATATACTATAACTCTGTAATCGAAGAGTCATTAAAATTCATTTCACAACTTGGGAAATGAGCGTGAGAGTATATGATCGGTTGGGACCTCGCATTTCATGGGCTGGGAATTAGTTCGATCGTTTATCAATCGCATTTCAAATGGTATTCTCTTAATGGTCAGGTCGACGCATGTGTTGCTTTGGAGCTGCTTCTGGTGGTGGGCGTGGCGCTGATAATGTTACAGGTACGGTGAGCGTCATCTGCATGAATGTTTGTTCCGCCCAGTTGCAGTTGCGCTCATGAGCATGATGTTATGTGTGTGTGTGTGTGTGTGTGTGGGTCTGGCTTTGTGCGCGAGTGTGTGTGTGTGAGAGGGAGGCATGTAACGGGTTTTTGACACAGTTTTAAAGAACATTTAATCACTTTAATTGAACAAATTTTTAATAATCCCATCTCTTTCTTTTGCAGGAAAAAATCTTTACAACAATGAACATGTAGCAATAAAAATGGAGCCTATGAAGTCGAAGGCTCCACAACTACACTTAGAGTATAGGTTTTATAAGCTATTAGGATCACATGGTATGTTAAAATGTTTTTATTATATTTATTGAATACACAAATATGCCAACCTCTACTCCGTCCCGTAAAATTGACTAACAAAATAAACCATAAGACAAGAAAAAAATCATTTACAAAACATATATATTTTCCATGCCCGTTTGTCAATATAGTGACAAATTGCTAACCCAATCCTACTCACTCCAACTACCACTCCAATAATACTATGTTTTGCACCGTTACCACCTTCGTTAGTCAAATAAACTCGTAATTTCAATTCTATGTATAACACTTTGAATTTGAAGTGCTATTAGAATACACATAAGACTACATGAATAGATTTTCTCAAGCATATTTCGGAGGTCGGTGCGTGAATTAAATTACAAAGAAAAAAAAAAATAAGAATTATGAAAATAATATATAAACAATGAATTCTATTGCATATTTTGGACACAGCTAAGCTGTACATCCATTATATTCTTCTGATTTTATACCCACCAACTTACTATATGCTGATTTCTCAACTCAACTTTATTAAAAAATTCTTACGTTTTTTTTTTTCGCCCGTTCTTTTTTCGTTGTTCTTACATATGTATATATACGCAAATATACACTCACATATATATATATGTATGTAAATTGCTATGTTCCTTCATTCAACCATCAAAAACACCATCCACCAATGAACTCACGCTGTGAAATATGAAATTTGAAACTGATCTCGATCCCGATCACGATTATGATCATGGTCACGGTTACGATATTGAAAAAATTCCGTGTCAAAAATATAATCATCGTGCGACAACCAACCAAACAACCAATCAACCAACACCAAAACAATCGGCTGATTTCTTTTGCAAAAAACATTATGATGGCATGGCACATACCCTGTAAAATAAAATAAAAAACAATCCGATGCTCCTACAGCCGAAAACGCCCCAGAAGGCATACCACGCATTTATCACTTGGGCACTTGCGGTGGCCGTTATAATGCCATGGTTTTAGAGTTATTGGGATTATCATTAGAAGATCTCTTCAATATTTGCTCCCGTAAATTTTCACTTAAGACTGTATTGATGATAGCGAAACAACTTGTAAGTTTATTCAAAATGGAATGCGAACAAATTATACATTTCGTTAATGTTTGAGCGAATTAGCGCGGATTTCACATTTTCGCATTTTCACATGGCCCGAATAATTTTGTTCGATGTAGTACAGTGCGTATAACAATCTAATTGACTGAGAGAGATACGCTGCGAGTGTGAAGTCCGTCGCCTATTTCACTGAAACTGTTCTACACTTTAATTTTTAATTTCGATTAAACAAAACAACATTTTTAAGCAAGTGTCTCAACGGCTAAATGTTTCATGTTAGCAACTCGTATTAATTATTATTTCAAATTCTACTGCAAAAGAACACAATGAACGTTAGTGTCAACATTTTAGTTTATGTAGTGGAACTGAACGAACTGAATATGCCTCTATCGTCGTAGTTTACAAATACAGAATTTTTACGTTTTTTTTTTTTGTTAGTTATTTCTTGGGTTGTAGCTCATTTAAAATCCAAATTCAAATCAAGTAAAATCACCAATTAAATTATAAAGCATGTAAACTAAGAAACGTTAATAGGCAAAACTACTTACAATGTTCCTATGTAAATAATAAAAACAAGTTTCTTTCTTAAAAAAAAACCAAGTATTGCGAAAACAGTTCCAACTATTAACCACAGTTCCTCGTTAGTTGCCTAAGTTAACGATTTTCCCATTTGTTTTTCTCTCTTGATTTCAATTAATGACAAACTTTTTGTATGTGCCTCTATATGATTATACTTATTTTAACCAATTTACTAACACAGCTCCAAGATCAAATAAAAATAAAAAATATACATATATTTTGCTAAAGTGGTAATCCAACTGAAACAACAAACACTCAATATATAATGGGCTAGAGCCCAGAGCCTACACTGTTATAACTGTTATACACTCAACTCTCTACACCTAAGTTAAGCTTAAGATGTGGCCTATAAATGCAGTTACTATAGCTATAAGTTGAATGCAGGCACTGTGATAACCACGTAACTATATAACTGTTATAACTGTTATAAACGTAATCTGGAGTTGCTACCCAGAATAATGCAGCAGCAATTTTATAAATTTTTGACAGGGTCGTTTCATAGGCTTCCTCGTTATATGCTTCGAGAATCTCTATTTTTGTTGTTCTTGTTGTTTTTAGCACAGATTTTCCTAAAAAAAAAAGAACAAAATAAATAAATTTTAAGTAATCAAAAATTCCAAAAAGTGATGAAGCAATAATTTATAAAAGGTGGTAATAAAACGTAGACGCGCTAAACTAACCTCGAAGAGTCATAAATCTCACTGTCGTTCGCTCGCTCGTTCTCCCTTTCACTTTCTCTATCTATCTCTTTGACTTCTCATGTTCTTCCCGGTGCTCCCTCTCTCTAAAAAAAAAAAAAAAACTGGAAATAAAAAAATATATTTAAAATAATTTTGTTGTCCTCACTCTCCTTTCTCTCTCTCTCCCTTTCTCTATATTCTTTTATCTGTCGATTTTTTTCATAAAAAAACAACAACAACAAATGATCAATCAACGTGCTTCCCCAAAAACTGCTACGTTACTTCTGTGCGCTGCCCAACACTGAAAACTAAAAAACCAAAAACCACAAAAAAATGTAATTTTTAAAAATCGCTTTTTATTCTACACACCCTCCCACCTACACTTTGAAAATTTCCGAAATTTTTGTTGGCCTGTAGCAGAGGGTGTACCAGAAGTATATTACTTCGGCCCATGCGGCAAGTACAATGCTCTTGTTATGGAATTGCTTGGTCCATCACTCGAAGATTTGTTCGATATTTGCGGCAGACGTTTCACTTTGAAGAGCGTACTACTGATAGCTATACAATTAGTAAGTACAACCAATACCACAAATCACAAAAAAAAAAAAAAAAAAAAAAAAAAAAAAAAAACAAATTAAAAAAAAATACAGCAAAAACCAAAAGATAGCAAAACGTAATTTTTTTTCGAGCACGCGCATTTCTCAGTACATTTCACATATTCGTTCACGTACACAACACTGGTAGCAGCTAAGCCAACAATTAACCAACCCTGGCCACGCAAGCGCAAAATTTCACACACATTTAAATATATAACTATATTTATATATATTACCCGAAAACCCGATCCGACTTTTGTTGATTGCGAGTGCGTGTATGTGTCTGTCTGTGACTGTATGCGTGAGAGAGTGTTTGTAGGGCCTGCTTGGGTGAATTTTTATTAAGTTAATCAATTTTAATTTAACTGCGACATTTATTTGTACTTTAATTTGATTTTGCTAACTAACAACAACAACAACAACAAGAAAAGGATGCTTTTTTATTATTGATTTGAATCTTATTCGTCTTCCCACCTGATCTTATATTTTTACCTCATTTGTAGACAATAACTGGTTAAGGATTTTTTCGCAAGTAGTTCTTAAGTTCTTAACGTTTCAGTTTAGCATAAATCACAATGCATTCTAATGCCATATACATTTTAATGCCGCTTCTTACCTAGCATATTCTTTAATATTTACAATTAAGTTGTTAACTGCCAACGTAAAAAAAAAAAAAAAAAAAAAAAAAAAAAAAAAAAAAAAAAAAAAACAAAACCAATCAGTTCATAATATTAAAAATAAATCAAAATAATAATAAGTAATTGCATGTGCATTTATTATGTAGTTGACATAGAAATATATATTTTTTATTTTGCATTTGAAGCGCGTTCACATTAATTTTTTAATTTCAAGAAATTTAAAGAAAAAACGACATCGAATCAATTTAAGTTATCAAAAACTGTTGCCATCAAAAATMAAACCAACAACAACAAAACTTCAGCTAGTTGAGACACTACAAATCAGATTGACATTAAATATAATTCAATGTTCATTTACACATTTCGTCAGTCTGACAATGAGTCAAAAAAAAACTCAATTGAATGAATTCTAAATGAACTTGTCACGATTTGCTCATTGGCAGACTGAACGTGTTAGAGCTCCCACCTAAACCCGAGCGTATACTAATTGACTTTTGTTTTCTTTTACCAATTACTCAACTAAACACAAAAACAGCTCCACCGGATCGAATATGTTCATAGTCGGCACTTAATTTATAGAGATGTAAAACCAGAGAATTTTCTCATTGGCAGAACATCAACAAAACGTGAAAAAATTATACACATAATTGGTAAGTGATATTATATGAACCGAGTGAAAATCAAGTTTTAATATATTGCTTTTAATTATTTTCAATAGATTTCGGTTTGGCCAAAGAATATATTGATTTAGATACAAATAGACATATACCATATCGGGAGCATAAATCCCTGACGGGCACCGCTCGCTATATGTCGATCAACACGCATATGGGGCGCGAGCAGTCGAGGCGCGACGATCTGGAGGCTCTGGGTCATATGTTTATGTACTTCTTAAGAGGATCACTGCCCTGGCAAGGCCTTAAGGCTGATACACTCAAAGAGAGATATCAAAAAATCGGTGATACAAAACGTGCAACACCTATAGAGGTGAGCGAGAGGACTATTGAATTTCAGCTTCTGAATTCTGTTTATGAGCCAATGACCGATTCAGCAGATCAAAAATAGTACAAAACAACTTAAAAGATATGAATCCATAGAGTAACAGTTATCTGAGAAGAAGAAAATTCTTTACACTTTATGTAAACAGGATTCTAGTAGAATTCATTCATCCAGTAAATAATAAATCAAGTCAAATATATATGTGTTGCTAAAAGCAGGAAGATAGTAGAAACTATTAGGATATATAT